GAGGGTGGCTCTGCTCTGCGGCAAAGGCAGCGAGGCCAACCACATCCCCTGCTGCGCTCAGCTGCCCGGCTCAGCCCCCTCACCCTCACCTGCCTGGCCGCTGGTGGGCTCCGTGTCGACAGGGCGGCTACTGGGAGCGGCTGCGCCTCTCGCCTGACCGCCGGTGCCGGGAACGTGGGCGGGCTCCCCAACTGCCGTGGTGCTGGAACGATCTTAACCAATACATTTTTATGTTTGTTATTAGTCATATGCGTAGAATTTCTCCTTATTTTCGGTTCAGTGTTTTAGTGTTCACTGTTTTTAGAATAGTGTAATTTTAATTTTGCTAACAATTTGAATGTAGGCCCCTCTTGATCTTGAGGCCCTAGGCTGAAGTCTAGTTAGCCTATAGGAAAATCCGGCCCTGGTGGTGACCAAAACTGGATGCAGTATTCTATGTGTGGCCTTACTAAGGCTTTATAGAGTGGTATTGATATTGATTGAATCCCTCTGTAAATACAATTTAGGATTGTGTTGGTTTTTTTTTGTCTGCCGCTGCACACTGTTGGCCCATATTTAATTGATTGTCCATTAAAATACATCCCTCTCACAGTTACTGCTATTAAGCCTGGTTTCTCAACCTACAGTATGTCAGGCATATGACAATCCATAGTTTCTCCAAAGTCATTCAAGGGTTCTCATTGATCTTTTCCTCCTCATCTTTCCTCAAACTCCCCAAATATAGTCCCCCACCCAAAGCTCTTCATTCATGTGCATGAAATGCACTAAATGTGTGTTTCTGCTTGTTTCAATTTTTAAAAAAGCTTTAATGAGGCAATTGGTCTTTTTTGTTTCTAGGACCAATTGATTGATTGCCTCTTAGTAACCATCTTCAGGTCCATAATTAGAAAAAAAAATCTTTTATTTCATTTTTTGCCATGCCCATTTCAGTATTTTATATTACTACTAAAAAGGGGGTTGCTTTAACTATTCAGATCCTTGGGATAACTGAAATGTTATTATTTTTCATGAACTTCTCAAAGTTTCCATTCACTTTATGTTCTCTTGTTCTCCAAGAGCTTCAGCTTCAGTTTCTTATTTTACTATAGCAAACAAATGTAAACCTATCTATTTCCTTCACTTTTTTTGTTGTCAACAATGAATTACCTAAGTATACTTTTATCTTCTTAATATTTAGCATTTAAACATTTCCATGCTTATGTTTTTAATGGGCTCTTCTAAATCTTGGTTACATTGATAATCTGTGCTAGCTCAGTAGTATTGACCCTGATATGTAAGAATTCCAGGATTTCAAGCTGGAATTTTTCTTAGTCCCATTTGCTGATGATGAGAATTGAACTTGCAGTGGCCTTCCACCTATAGGACATGTGCTCAGAAAAAAATATTTGAGCAAATGCAGAGATATTATTATAAAGTGAATAATGTCAAGATAACTTTGTCAATTATTTCATGTTTTCATCAGAGATGGCAATGATGCCAAATGCTCTGATTTGAAGTTGTTAGTGCAGAATACCAAGATTAGATTTTGCTACCTAGCTATTATGCTATTTCATTCCTTGACTAGCATTATGCCACAGCAGGAACTCCTATAGGATCAGACAGATAGGTATGGATGAGTGGAAAGATGGGGAGATTGGTATTCCTAGAGCCACTATTTAGAAATAATGATGGAGCATTAAGTGAAGTCTGTGGAATTCTGCATCACATCACATTCCTAGACAATGTCTCTCCAGAGAATATTAACCTAATGTCACAGTAAACATTGGCAATTTTCAGATGTTTATAAGAAAGCTTAAGCTTAAGCAAAAGAGAATAACATTCCTATATCACCATACCTATTGGTAACAATCCAAGAAGCAATGGATAACCAAGAGAAGAAAACAGCTGTTGTATATTTTATATTTAGTAGATAACTAAGAAGTATTATAAAACAATACATATGTATATTGGCATTAGTGTCTCCAAATTCTGATTGATTGCTTATTGTGAGTGGTTTAATATTTGTGAAGTCCTATCCCTGCATCTCCCACCTCCATGCTTGGTCCTAATAGATTTTCAAGAAAACATAAATAGGCTTCTCTTATTGGTTAGGCATATAGAACTTCAGCACTAGCCACCAAAGATTATGTAACTTGGGGATGACCTGCATTTTTGGATGTTCTTAAAAAAAAATCATCTGAAGCCTAATCCATTCACACAAAATCTCTTGGACATTTGACTTATTTTATGTCACTTGCTTCCATTTATGTCATTGTGTTAATTTACAACAATTGTGAATGATTTAAATATGGAAATACTATAGATTATAGCAATAATGTACATTCATATTTGATGGACACTCAGATATTGTAGATATTTCTCTTGTCCATTAAATCAAGGTTTCAACTTATTGCTATACAAGAAGTAACATCTTTTCTGTCATCTAATAAATTGCATCTACTTATTGGTTCTATCCACCATCTTCACATGACCTTAGAGCAAAATGTTCCTAATGGTGAAATAGAAGATATTCTTCTGGAAACATGAAAAATGAAATAATGTTCATATTACATATTATTTCTTCTTTGTTGACATCCAAAAGGCAGTGCTTGGAAATGTTCCAAGTTTACTTTGAAGATTAGCATAAAGAGAGCACTGACTAGCAGTAGAAGAATATGCAGGTACAGTGACTTGGACATTCTCCACAAGTTCTAGAAACCCATCTAAATATGGAGCTTGGATGTAAGATCCAAAGATATGTTGTCTTTTAGTCCCCTATGCCATAGATTTCTAAAATTGTTTATCTATGAGAATTTCTAAATAGAGGGTTTCAAAGATCTTGTAACTGAAAGTTTTTATAACCAGCTGACTGATAATGCAGACTCACAAATTAGCTGTGAAGTCAAATGTTCTGATGTATAAAGTTTGGTCTTAGGATACAATGTGGGAAGTTGCCTTACATTTAGCCAGATCATTAACTCATTCAGCTCCATATTCTCTAAACTGGCTGTCCAAGGTTTTTTTATTTTTACATTTCAGTTCTAGAATCATTTCATTCTATTCTTAGCAGCTTTTATCTTTTTAGAGTCAAAGATTATTAATTCTCCCATTCAGATTTTCCTATTACTAAAACCAACTAGGATGTGTGGATGGCAAAAAAAACAAAAAACCAACCCCAACCCTTACAGGATCTGCTTCTTAAATTTCTTTGAAGAGCTTTCCCTTTGGCCCAAATCCTGACTTCTTTAGAGATGTTAGTCTTGGATGAAAGTATTTGGGTTTTTAAAACTCCTGCTAGCATCGGGTTTTCAATGCAGGGCAGGATGGAGAAAACTTCCATGGCATTATTTTAAGTGAGTGTTTTGATTGAATGGTAAGGAATGGCCACACTGTCTATGAAAAAAGAGAATATCTCTTCTAAGTCCATATGTAGACAATAAAAAGAACTGAAAGAAGTTTCAACTAAAAGAAACAAAAAGTAAGTTCAACAAGCTCCTACTAACTAAGGTAACTATATTTGGTCTGCAAAAAGAAAATCCCTGTCTCCTTGCTACAACCTTATGGTAATCTGGATTTTTGTGCCCCAGATGCAGGCACTATTTCTTGCCACAAAGTTAAAGCAACGTTATGAAGTTCCTCCATGATGGAATCTGAAACTTGTCTACCATTCTTGACGAAGTACTTTTTGACAACTGAGACTGCCCTCTCCATGTAGGAAATAAATAAATTGTAGCTGCATTCTATAATATTTTTACACCAATACTGGGGTTTCTTTTTAGATATTAAGGTTGCATGCAAACAGAGACAGAAAATATGGGATTATTATTGTGAAAAAACAACATGAAGGCACACTGTATGGTTATCTTTGACCAACGGCCATGACAAGCATCCAAGACATAGTTTTAGGACAAATGGTTGGAAGTACAATCCTCTCCATTTCTGACTTTACCTGACAAATGACTTTTCTCAAGGAAAGGAAGCTGCGTGTCTTTCTCATCTGCTGTAGAGAAAAAGTGTGTGGAATTTGTGTTTAAACTATTTTTCCCCTCTGTTTGGAAACTTTATTTCACAATATTGAAAGTACAAAATGGGTTAATCCTATTTGGTACTTACATGGCTTCATACATCTGCTAATGCAGTCAGCTTCTGTCTCAAATCTATTGGCATTACCGTTACACCCACCATACCAAACCTGGGTGCAGATCTTGTTTTTGTAGTCAAAGTACCACTTAACCTGATACTCCTTGCACTGCGTGCCCATGTCAAGGTCCAGTAAGCAAGGATCTGTTAAATTTGAATTTCAACATGTGCAAAGGTTAAATGACCCTGAAAATATTAAAAGCTTCGAAAAAGGCACAAGATGCCAAACCCCGCCCCCAAAAATAAACATTTTCAACAAACAAAAAAGAAGTAGAATACAATCTTTCACTAATGATTTTTACAGAAACTATATGGAAAATAATAATCTTGCACTGCTAATAAAATCAAAGATATGCCAAGCAGCCAGTGCATGAGTGTAAATATTGTATTGACTCATGTCTTACACAGATGGGCTGTAAAAGTGCTACATTTCTGCCTCTGTTAAGTCATTAGCCAAATCCAGTGCAGAGTAGCAGTCAGAAATATAAAAAGCAGAGTGGAGAAAATGCAAAAAGGATATAGTCGCAAATTTTACAACCCACAGGATCTGTATGGTTGTTTCCTGAAATTACACTGTTCTTATTTTATTACCAATGGGCCAATCCTACCCTCAGTACAAATAATACCCTTCTTGTAAGACCTGTACCTTCTTAGATGTAGAAAGTGAATTTCAGCACATCTTTTCCTGTGGAGCCTTTATTCTACTTCCTGTCCACTTATTTGGATTTGTTGACCTTCTCAATTAAGGACCAGTACTGTACTGATGTCAGCACTCACTATACTGCTCAACTGAGGGCACGTGAACTCAGAGTTTGCAAGGAAGTTGATTATTAAGCTATACTGTGAATTTGTCGAGTGTTGCCTAGTTCTGGAAGTGCTTCCTATGACACTATCACACTTTTAAAGTATTTGCCAGGAGAAGGAAATTGAATTTACAATCTTAGAGTCTTATGGGTTGGCAAGAGCTGAGATTCCCAGGCTCTTCTCAATACAAAAAGCAGAGTAGCCGTTGTTTGGAGGATTTAGGATTATTTGAATAAAACCTTAATTGTGTTAGAATTGGACAATGGTGTGACCTAAATATAAGCTCGGAGGAAAAAAGAGATTTAAAATAATAAAAATAACATAGAATAATTAATTAGGGGTTAATATACTTTACAGATAGTCCTCGACTTATAATCACAATTGAGCCCAAAATCTTGAATTTTAAGTGAATTTTGGCCCATTTTATGTCCCCCTTTGCCACAGTTTTAAGCAAATCACTGCAGATGTTAGGTGGACCATGCAGCCATTAAGTGAATCTGGCTCCCCCCACCCTTAACTTTGCTTATTGGAGGCTGGCTGGAAAAGTTACAAATGGTGATCACATGATCCTGGGACACTGCAACTGCCATAAATACATGCCAGTTGCCAAGCACCCAAATTTTGATCACATGGCTATGGGGATCCTACAACAGTTGTAAGTGTGAAAAAGGTCATATCACTTTTTTCAGGGTCATTGTAACTTCGAATGGTCACTAAACAAATAGTTGTAAGTCAAGGACTACCTATACTTGAAATGTTTATATTCTTTACTTTATATTTTGCTTTCTACATCTATACTGAAGTTTATTCCTTCTTCTTGGTTGAACAATAAGGCATTATCTTGTCTCAAAAACACAGGCTATTCAGTGAAGCACTTCCCATAGCCATTTGGAAGAGTATACATGAGCACACAGACACACACAAAGCACACAGTTTCCTACTGTCTCCACTCAAAATCATGTCATGGCATCTTCAAAAACAATGTGATGTGACTAGAGGGGATTTTCTCACACTAGGAACTTTTATAGGTGAATACAAGTCCGAAAGAAAAGGGTTATCATTATTACATGAAATTTACATGGCTCACTTGCAAAAGAATAGTTGAAAAGAAGTTAAACTAGACATGGACAAGAGACTTTGAAGAACCAGTTCAGTGCTGCAACAACTGTGTCATAAAGGCTGAAAATTGATAACAGAAAAATAAGTGCAGTTATGGACATTAAAAAGAGAAGAATAATGGAATTAGACAAACAAAGATGAAAATGATTAAAGAAATTAATCTGTAATGCAAATATGTAAAATCTACCATGTTTAGGGAAAAGATATCTCTACCAATTTGCAACTAAAGCTTTGCAAAGCTCAATGTTTTCAAAGTTCTCTTTCAGAATTTATCTCTTATAAAAATAGTTTTCTACATTTTTCTATGATTAACTTCATAAAAGGGAATAGCATATTCAAAACAGCATTGCTGGGTAGCCTGTATGAAGATATCTAGTACCTTTCATCAAACCTTCAGTTATCAATTTGCATGAAAGGAAATCCTAGTATTTTTTTTTCATATGGTCTTACAGAAGTTTGCAGACTTTAAAAAAATGTGAGTTCTACCATGATCATGAACATTATTAGAAATGCCTGGCATGGAAGTTCAGGCCAGAATTCATAATATGCAACAGAAAAAAAACAGAAACAAACAGAAACAATAGATTATGGGAAGCTAAAACAAAGCAAAATAAAATACTCATCTGAATTTGAAATTTGAAAGAATTATGTGGCTTATATCTTTCCTATTAATGGGCAATGCACAAGGAAGTTCAAATATTGTTAGCAGTAAAGATAGTATCAAATTTTGAAAAATAACAAATCCAATATCAATTCAACCCATCTTAGTTTTGTAAAATTATATTATCTACCATAGTTTTTCAAATCTTATGAACAGGTGAATCAGAATGGCAGCAAAATAAAAACTGATTTTAACAGAAGTTTCATTAAAATTATGACAATTTCATAAACTTGTCATATTAACATAAATTATTATAACAAAAAAATTAACACAACAATCACATTCAGAACAAATGTGAATTATCTACATATTGTTAATAACTGAGTTTAACACAGTGATTTGTTAATGGTTGGTTACAAAAATAAATAATTACTTGAGCTAAGACACATGGCAAAGAAATGAGCACAGGATTTTACAGTGACACAACATCACATAACTCAGACTTTTCCAATGAGCCATTAGAAAATATATTTTCCATTACCCGCAGAAACATTTTATGCTAGGATGACTGGTGGTCTATTAGGGTTGGCAGGGCTTTGGAAATAATTCAAAAATGAACCTTTGATACATGAACACAGCACCTGACCACAATCCTTTAAAACAGATGTTTGTCACACAGTTGCCCTATGCAACTACCAATTGACATAGCATAAGGTAAGACATGGCTACTTTGAAAGAACTGCAGATAGGGATACATTTATACCAATATGCAGTTGCAGGATATGAAGCTAAGTAATTGTCTGCTGAAGGAGTGAATGAGCCAACATTTGCCCTCCAAAATGCAAATGGATAGTACTACTAGAACAGTAGTGATAGGCCTTCTTTTGGGAAGAAGATCATTAAGATAGCAGATCAAGTCTCCCTAGCTGTAATCACTGAAGAAATGCAATCAGTTCCTAGGATTTTTTCTTTACTTACAATTTCCTAAAGCTTTAAACCTTGCAATTCTGAAGAATGTCTTACCCTTACTAGGGTCAAAGGATCTGTAAAAAGTGCAATTGTGGGCATTTTCCCCGAAAGACTATTGCAGGGCTGTGCAAAACCAGCTATTCTTCCTTTTTACACACCTTTATACAATGTGAAAAGCTTACATACATACATACATACATACATACATACATACATACATACATACATACATACATAGGAACCAATGCATCTGACTACAGAAGAATTGAACACAATATGGTACATTTCATTTGAGCATCCTCTTAGCTCTTTTGGAATTTTCAAAATCACCCTGTATTAGAATCCAGCTTTAATTTCTACAATCCTGTCATGCTCCACTGAGAATCAACAATAATAGTACTACCTGCTGACTCTAGCTAATGGAAACTCTAGTATAAAGCGTGGGACATCTGGGGTTCATGGCTTGCCACTTACTTTGAGATAAAAACTTCCCTGGCACATTATGTTTACCCTTTAGTTTACATATTTTACTGTTCCACAAAAATCAACCAGTATCCTTCGTTTCAGGTAGCATATCATGTTGGTGCCATTTTAGATGTTTTCTCTAGAACATAGTTTAATCCAGGAGTCCCCAACCCCTGGTCCGTGGACCGGCACAGGTCCACAACATGCCAGAAACCAGTCTACACAAACAGCCGCATCCATGGGATGCAGGCAGCATGCAAAACCACATCCCTCTAGTCTGTAGAAAAACCTCTCTCCACGGAACTTGTCCCTGGTGCCAAAATGTTTAGGGACTTCTGGTTTAATCCATCCAAACTTTCATTTCCAATACCTCTGAGATCTTTCATAGCTTGGACTCACCTTTTTCAGGGACATTCAAAGGTTCAGTGTTCACCATTATATTGGTTGCTGCTGCTGCTCCTGCTGTTCCTGCTGTTCCTGCTGCTCCTGCTGCTCCTGCTGCTCCTGCTGCTCCTGCTGCTCCTGCTGAAGGGATCTTGGCTGCTGGCATGCTCTCTGTAGAAAGCAAGCCAAGCAATAGTGAGGGTGGGCTCAGGAGGACTCAAGTCACAGCAATAAACATTTTTACTTACATCCAGACTGATTGAGACATTGCACACAACACTTCTTCAGCTTTATATGTAATCATACATAAAGAAAAAGAAAGCTATAGTGTGTTTTAATATTACAATTTTAGCAAGCACAGTGCCTAGCAATCAATTAAAATCATGGAAATATAATAATATACAGATGTATATTTTGAATATTATGTAACAACTGACTATATCTAGTAATCCAGTTATGATTACTTATTATGAACTTTGTTTTTAAAAGAGACATTTTGAGCAAACCTGTCTGAAATATAACAAAGGTAGTATTCAAATCAGGCACTTCATTCAGAAATAGATTTCTCACTAGAAATTATGCTTCAGCAATGTAAAAATGCAGGAAGAGGGCATTATTCCTTCTGAAGTTGCAGATCAATATTAATCGAATTGTTACAATATTATCTTTTTCTCCTACTGTAAAAATCTATCAAATGAATACCTCACTATAGCATATAATGCTGCTTAAAAATGTGACCCAAATACATAGTATTAATTAGGCTATGTGTCATTACTATTAGGACAACATACTGATTTGCTTCTTCTTATATCCAAAAACCAAAATTGATAGAAAAAACAATGCACTTAATTTAAATACCCAAGATAACTTACTTGTATTAAATGTTCCCCTATAAGTAGCTTTGGCCTGGGCATTATGATAACCTGTGATAGCAACATGATACTTTTGTCCACTCTGAAGATCTCCAATGACTCTTTCATTGTTAGTTAAATTAAGCTTTAAAACTATGGAGTGGTCATGTGCTGAGGAGACTGTGATGTGATAGACATAGACATTCTGAGGCTCAGGAATCATCCAATGCAGCTTAGCACTGTTTTCAGTGATATCAGTTATTTGGACTTCTCCATTATGTTTAATCACTGTTGAAGAAAAGAAAAAACTAATAAAAGAACAGAATTAATAGATTCAGGATTTTAAGGATGTTCAGGATAAGACTTATATAAAAAAAGATATTCATAAAAACTTAGCTGATCTTACCTAACACAAAAATCCCCCAACAGGGAAGGTGGGGGAAAAATATCTATAATAAGCTAAGAATATTCCAATATGCTAGAACCTTTAATTGCACGTGGAACTGTGTACTATTTGCAATCTAAAAAAAGATTGCAAACATTTCCAGAACCCAGTTGACATATACTTATTTTGTAAATCATTTACTTAAGACCTGCCTGCTAATAGGCATAAAAAATGAACAGATCACATTTTGCATTCGAAAACACAAAAAGAAGCTGTAATTAAATGCCTTAAATACAAACTACATTTAAAATCAAACACGAAAAAACCCACAATATCTGCTTATGTTGTTTTAATGAGGGGGGGAAGCCTCCTGAAACTTGCAACCACTGAAAAGAATTTCTAAAGAAACCTCAACTTTTCCCACTTTCAGCTGTTTTCCTTTGTAAAATAATATTGTCCATTCCTGCTTCTTGCAACTTTTCCAATTATTATTTTAAAGTCTAATCTGCAGGATTAATTTTCATACAAACCTCTTTTACTGAAGCAAAGATATGGTATTTGAAGTTAAACATAGTAATCTTTTGTAAACAAAACAGTAAATAGCAAATTATTGTAAAGTAAAATATTAAAATCTGTTTAGCAATAGCAGGAAGATGTACCTTACCTTTTGATTTTTCTGTTACAGCAGGTGTGACAGTAACATTATTTGGAATAGATCTGTTAGAAGAAACAGAAATAGTTATAGGTATGCATACTGTAAATAATCAAGACACGTTTAAGTCTTTGTTTCAAAATCTGCATCTGCACTCTTTTGCGCTTGTTTGGTAGAGTTATTTAAGACATCAGCTTTTTAAAAATCCAATGCTCCTTTCTGAACAAAAACATTTTACAATTTTTAGCAATTTTATTGCACGCTTTATCTGAAGGATAGTAATTATTAAGATGCCCCCAGTATTAATATATGTTCTTAAAAAGTAAACGTGGTCAGAAAAGTATATGCGATTTTCTAGACAGGAGCATTTTTTTAGTATAAGTATATATGAATATTTTCTAGTATGTTTTCTAATATATGAATACATCTTCAAATCAGAAAGAACAAATGATCATCTTAAAGATACTGGTTTTTCAACAGTTAGTGAAGTAATTGTTCTGATTAAAAGCTATCTGCGATAGCTTCCCATACAGACATTAGGAAGGGTCTTCTGTTGATCCAGTTGACCACCAGATGAGAAATTCTAAAACTGAAGTAATCAGGTCTGGAAAAGAAGCTTCTTTCTGTTGATGAATTAATGAGCTCTCTAGTCATCTTGCAAAATATACGGCTGCTCCATTTCATATCCCTTTAGTCCATTTTGACCCAATGTTAAATGGGACTGTTCTCATCATGCCTGCGCAGTGTGTGAGGGACAAAACATCTGCTTGATTCTTGAGAATTTGCTGCTCTCCCTTTTCAGCAAATCATCAGCCACACAGGTAAAATATCCACAAATCAAGCACAGTATCCGGGATGGGGAGAGCCAGACTCCGGGACTCTAGCCAAACATTTCTTCCTATGACCCATTCTGCCATATCCAAGTTGAATACTTGGGGGGATGGGGGTTGTTAGGGAAAAAAAGATCAGCATCACAAAGGTTGCCAAATTCAAAATCATTGGTTATGTTTAGGAATTTATCATCCTTCTTTTTCTTTCTTTACATAGACAAGAGATGGGGAGAGAGGCAAGCCTACATCCGCTTATAAGGAAGAATAAGAACTCTCATGTACCATTAGTCACCAAACTTAATCTGATAGAGTGCTCACAGAACATAGTACTTTTTATACAACTTGCAGCCATCACTGAATGCTATTGGCCTTAAAGGAAAAAATATGATTTAAACCCAGGACAATTAAATATAGTTAAAGAGAACTTAAGGGTTAGAGATGGGACAAAGATAGGGTCAAGTGAGGATACTGCTTTCTACCCATATAAGAAACAGGTTTATATTGCTCTAAACCCATATTTATTTCCCATTCAAGGCAATAAATATAATAACAATAGCAATAACAATAACAACCAACAACAACAACAATAATAATTAAGGAAGCAGGTACATTAAAGAAAGAAACAGAGTCACTAATCCTGGCTGCACAAGAACAAGCTATCCGCACAAATAGCACACTGGGTGCTATTCCAAAAGCACTTTTGGCATGCCATTAAGACCAAAATCAAAAAATCCTCTGATGATGCCAAATGCAGACTTTGCAAAGAAGCTGATGAAACTGTTGATCACATATTCAGCTGCTGTAAAAAAATTGCGCAGACGATTATAAATTGCGGCACAATTCAGTAGCACAAATGATCCATTGGAATTTGTGCAAAAATTATAATATTAAAACAGCAACAAACTGATGGGAACATAAGCCTGAAAAAGTCACTGAAAATCAGATGGTCAAGATCTTATGGGATTTTCGTATACAAATGGACAAAATACTGGCGCATAGTACACCAGACATTACACTGGTTGAAGAAAAAATAAGGTTACAATCATAGATATCGCAATACCAGGTGATAGCAGAGTCGACGAGAAGGAATATGAAAAAATTGCAAAATACCAGGACTTAAAAATCGAAATTCAACGATTATGGCACTAACCAGCAGTGATAATTCCAGTGGTAATCGCTACACTGGGTGCTATTCCAAAAGCACTTTTAAATTACATTTAAAACAGTTAAAAATTGACAAAACCACCATCAGTCAAATGCAAAATGCTTGGATCTGCACGCATATTACAAAAATACATTATGACGTCCTAGGCCCCTGGGTAGGGCCTGACTAGTAATCAATGCCAAATCCGGCGAAACAACTGTCCGCTGTGATACAATTCTGTTGTTGCAAATAATAATAATAATTTAATACTTTATTAAATTTGTATGCCACTCAATTCACAATGACTGGGTGACTGAGAAGAATCAAGCAAAAAAATTACAATACAATCAATAAAATAGAAAAAAATAGAGATAACATGACAAGCATAATGAAGAGAGGGGTCTCATTCTCACACACATTATTTGGTATCTGGAGGAAAATTTACTTTCTGACAATGAAAATGAACTCTAAAGACTTACAGTTGTTTTTGGCCAAATTTTTTGATTGGCTGGTCACCCTGGAACAAATCACATTTTTTCCTGATATCTGGAGACAAGTAAAAGGAATTTTCACCTAAAACACAAGGGAGAATGCATAAATATTTTCTCATTTTCCAAACATATTATAGGAATTTAAACCATATCTTTATTTACACATTCTAACACAGAATAAAATTTGCGGCATCACGTTTTGTCATGTGATGTATGATAACTTTTTCCCCCTTCACTAACATGGATGTGGCCAGTGGGTGATGCATCTGGCCCGTGGGCCGCAAGTTTGACACCCCTGTTCGAACATTTATTTAGATTTAGTAATTTTCTGTCAGCACAAGGAGTCAAGCCTACATGTGTAGAGTTCAGGTTTACTGCTTTATTATATTCTGCCTATTATACAGGAATTTCCCATCCTCAGCCTGGGAACAAATACATACAGCTCTGTGGAGCTCAAGGACCTGGGTGAGGAGGTTAGTTCTGGATCTGTTGCAGCCACATAAGAACTTGAGGCTAATTCAGCACTTGAGGCTTCACCCACCCCTATCCCTGCTTCCTGGCTTGGCGTTTCCCAATATTTTCTCTATTATTACTATAGAGATATACACTAGTAGATTACATGAGTTCTCTTTTGGCATTAATCTAGCAAAAAATAGTGCTGTTTTTTGTTCTGTGGTTTCAAATTATATCCGTTTTATGTCTAGATACACAGCTGCATGGCATTTTTCTTACTATTTTTAAATGTAACTTGTTAATAATTTTTAAAGCGAAAAAAGAAAAGAGAGAGAGAGATTGAGCAAGCATGGGCCTTTTCTTTAGGTAGAATTAAAGGGTTTGCTATTTGTTTAAATAGGAAACAGGACACTTTGTATAAAAACACTGATATTTTTTCCCAAATTTAATATTTATAACAGAGGAACTAGAAATTAAGAGGCATCTAAGATGCATGCAAATTGTGTTTACTCAGAAGGATTAATGGTTCCAAATTTAATAGTAATCATTTTAATCAAATCAAAATCCAGGAATCCTTTCAGAGAAATCCATCTGATCCTGCAATTCTAGGATCAAAGCATCCAATTTGGCTGGCAAACTTTTTACTTAAATATGACTAATTAGATCTATGTAATCCTTTTAATCCAATCCAAACCTGCCAAATTTTAGGCTCTGCTGTTTTGCTTGGGACTCACAGAGAATCAAAAAGCTATGGGGCTGCTTATTGCTCTAAAGCCCCACTCCCCATCTTTTAATTCATTTTAAACATTGAATGTTAACTATCTTTGCCTCTTTTTAAACTTTATATATAGTTTTTATGGTTTAATATTTTATATTCCACCCAGACTCCCTCTGTGAGAGAACTGGATAGTTTCTAAGATGGATGGATGGATGGATGGATGGATGGATGGATGGATGGGCGGGCGGGCGGGCAGGCAGGCAGGCAGGCAGGCAGGCAGACACTGACTGAAGCACTCAGTCAAATATATGGTTTTAGGTTTATTTTGCAACATTGTTCTTTGACTGTACAGTCTTGCACCCTAAACTATAAAAGAAAGTTTTTCCTCCCAGATTCAGGTGTTCTTCGGTCTAACCCTTTTAACTCTCTACCTTTCACTAACATATTAAGCATCTACTTACTGTTGATGAAGGACGGCAACAGGCTTCCAAAACGTAGCAATGGTTCTTCATGAAGTTGTGATGCCTCATCAACATATTTGAAGAAGACATCATTAGGCTCACTTGCCAAGCTGTAGATGCTTGGAATATTAATATTCCTACCAATGCCAATAATGACAAAAAAATATCCTTTACATTTAGCTTCTACAATAACTTTCTGAAGGTGTTCAAGTTCTTCCTTTTCAATGCCTCCTGTCATCATCAAAACAATGACTTTGTGATCTCTGGGATTTGGTGCACTCTCAAAAATATGCCTCATTGTATAGTCTACTGCAGTTGCCACAGCCCGTGTTCCATATAGTTGTGACATTTGGTTTTGAATGAAATCTGTTAATTTGTCCCTTGGGCCATAATCTGTCAGTGACAATTCAACTTTGACAGGAGATATGCTTGAGTTTGATTGAAACTCAAAGGGAGCATGTTGGACAATGGCAACCCTGGCATGGTGTTGAGATAACTTGGGATCAGAACTAGTTTCCAGTTGGTTTACAATATATGAAATGTAGCTCTTAATTTCTTTGAACTGCATTTGAGTGGTGCTCTCAGAGCTATCCAGGATGAATGCTATATCAATGTCAACATCTGTAGGCGCTGCCCGTCTGTCTCTGCCAAAGCTACCGCTCGGGATACCACAGCTGGGATCAGGATCACATACATCTAGACAAATAAATATATAATTATTACATAATTAATATTTGCAGTGCCCTTTTTTTGTCCATCAGTTGGACAAAAACAGCAAGATATACAATCGTCAATTGTGCCAAAAAACCAAAGCATCTACCAAAAACCAAAGCATAATTGGCAGTAGCTTCAAATTATGCATTGAAAAATGCTTTATTTCTGGATTTGTTTAGAGTGATTATAAAACTCCTTGACTGGCCCATAAAAGTTTCCACCACAAAATTTTCCACTACAATGGGAACCATTGCATGTGGCAACTGAATGACTACATTATGAGAAAATTGTAGTATTGCTTTAACGAGGCTAATTATAGATTTAAATTTCATCTGGGTTTCATCACTACTAAAAGAACACCAGTGGTGAATGATCATGAGAACAGAAATGTAAAAACAAAATGTCCCTTGAACAGCACTATTAGAAACAGAGGAAGCATTAGTAACAGTAAAAAAACAAATACAATTGTTCACAAGATTCTTGAAGCCTGCTCAGACTGAACTGCTGGTTCCAGAATGGTTTCTGACCATGGCCTTATAAGGCATTCTGATCTAGTCCAAGGTTGAAAAGAAGGCAGGCCCATCCATGCAACACAGCCCTTACATGGCAGAGCTTAAAACAAACCAAAAAACCCTCTCAAATTTCCTTGGTTCCCTCTAATTTGTCAAAAATCTTCAAGCAGACTGCTTACAAATTGATTTTGTCATAGTACACAAATATCTCAAGTAAAAAAATATGTCACATATTTTACCTAGACAAATATGGCATGTGAACACTTTCCTAATAGTTGCAGCCAGTTGACCAGCACCACCAGTAAATGCTAAAGCCTGTCCACCAGTGTTGTTTATCTAAAAACAAGAAGAGAAACATGCAGTCAATGGAATTCTGGAAACAATTTGTTAAATTGCCCAGAGTTTTTAAAATATACAGTATCAAGAAAGGGGTTAGCTTTTCTTAATTCCACTTGAACATAGATACAGATCTCAGTACATTTTTGTAAATTGTTCTGTATATTTATTTTTTAGATTCAAAGCCTACCCTTCTGTATCATTGAGAGAAGGATTCAACATGAAAGTACAGTTGGCTATAAGGTCCAATTCAGATTTATCCAATGAACAGTTTGTCCATTCTTTATCTCCTACTTTACCTCCAGAATATCTGGGGGTAGGACTTACAACATGTGGGCCTAAATTTGAAAATGAAATCTCAACTGCAGCTTCTTGGTTTATCCACCATCCATATTAACTTACTCACAAGAAATGTGATGTGAAAAACTAATAGTATATACTTAGTCACAAAACTCATGAAGGGGCTTTGAATTAAGTACAAACCCAACTAGTTTCTAAAACTATTGTGATCATAAAATGGAGAATGAATTATTATATTGTTATCTTGAGCTCTAGTAGAAGAGGTAGGAGAAAATGTGTGTGAGAGAGAGGGAGGGAGGGATGTCAACAATGACCTCTTAAACCTAGATCATGCATGAATTCTCAAATCCAATTAATGTGACTACACTATCAAATGAGCAAACTGTATAGGATGATTTTAACTGGGATACCATCCATCTCTGGGAAAGATTACTTATCTTGATGCTATTCAAATTAAGAAGCTATTTCAGAAAATTATTGTTCTATGTAGATTTCCCGCCATTGTCTGAGAATTTTCCTTTTAATCCTTTTAAGGATACATTCAAAAATAATGGTTGCCACACATTATTCTAACAAAGAGGTTTTCTTATGTTTTAATTAATCTGAGTGCAAGACCATCTTTTTCAAAACAATGACATAATAATTGCCATCTCCTTAGTCTCTTCTTTCATCCACAGTATATACTGATTTGACAGCTTCAGCTGGAAAAGAAGCAGCCATACGCTATTAATGGACTTTATGGCTTATATCCAAACAACTGTTTACATGATCAGAAGCCAGATGCTCCTGCTTGGATAGACAGTCATTTCTGCCAACTTCCCCCATCCTCAGGGTATTCCCCACCACCACATGATATGCTTTTTCTTAAATCTTTAGTACTGTTTATTATTATTATTATTATTATTATTATTATTATTATTATTATTATGTTAATCTTTGGTGAGATTCACAGCCTTTGGGGCTGGTTGGTAGCTCAACAGCTCGAGTCCTAACCAAGGACCTAGGAACTGTTGTTGTTATTATTATTATTATTACAAACAGATACAGGAGGAAGAACTAAGTCCCACTGAATGCATAGAATATCAAGTATACAATAGATCTCTGGAGTCAAATTATTATTTTGAACGTATGGAAACTAACAAACAAAAACAGAAACCTGCCACATTAATTGGCAAGCTCCCACTCCTTTCTGAAGACAGTCAATTTCCTATTGTGGATGGATTTAAGGGATCTTATGGGTGTCCACAGCATATGATTTTTAAAAAAATCAAGATGTTGGTCACAACAGTACAGAGCTTCAATTGCACAACTGTGGTTGCCATCTTGATTTTTTTTATTTTACCATGCTCAGAAAAAACATGTGAGGGAAGTTTTGTAGGCATTTCCTGGGCAAAAAGAACTATATGCAAAAGCATCCACATTGACTGCTGCTTTTAAAACTTTGCCTGGCTACTGCTGATAAACCACAAAGCTTTCACGCTGACAGATGTAAGTTTGATTCATTCATATATGAATTCTCTATGCAGCAGCATCTTTTCCCAGGATTAAATGGTTGTTGCTCACAGCTGTAGCACAATCTGGGGAAAAGATGCATTTGGTTTAGGGAGTGGTCACAAGTGCTCTGCACATGGCTGCAAATACTCTGAAGCAACCTTTTCCTTTTCAAATCCAAAATATTGTATGCTCAGTGATCCAGGGACAGTAATCAATATAAAAAATAACAAAATTAAGCCATTTTGTTGAGCGCTCCTGAAAGACAGAAGTAACTGACTGAATCCTATAACAATGATTGATTGATTGATTGATTGATTGATTGATTCCTGGAAAGATTCTGCAAGGAGGAGAAAAACAAAAGGAAGCAAACCTGTAATGCATTGATAAGGGCCTTGTCCTCTCTGTTTGTAAGGAATACAGGTACAACTCCAGAAATGTAGAGTCTTAGTACTGCTTCATTCAACTGTGGAGATGCTTTTGTGGGCCCATTGGTGAAGAACACAGCCACTTTCCTCATAAGGAAGCCACTACGTGCACGCTTGAAAGTATTCCTAGCCACAAATCCCATGGCTGTTTCTAAGCTACGTTGTTTGGATGTCTGAACAAATTGGAGGTCCTTGATTAGTTTTACCAACTCCTTCTTCTTTCTGGAGTCAGCAAAACGTATCTCAGTGGTAACTTCACTGTTGTATGTAACCAGTGCTACTCGGGCACCTCTGGGGCAGTTGCTTTCTGCAATTGTGATATTGTTAACAATTGACACTACTGTGTCCTTCATTCTGTTGAAAGTGTCTGCATTTCCACCAGCAGCAGTATCAAGAGCAAAGGCCAATTCAGTTGGATAAACAGGACATTCTTTTGGACCTGCAGAAACCGGGGACATTAAGAAGCAAGTATTATGAGAAAAAAGGTATTAGCCGTACAGCCCCCTTCCCCTCACTCCCAAAAAGGAAGAGACAGAGTTTACCAGTGAATAATTCAATGCTTGTCTTTCAAAGAAGTTGTGTATGTCGGTTTTTCATCTGACTGCAGATATTGAGTAATTTAAAATGAACTTACCATAACAGCAAGCTGTGAATAATAACAGAAAGAAGGAAAAGAAAGAAATTACTTTATAATCTCTACCAAAAAGCCAACTACATCAAGACCAGAGGCAAAAGAAATAGACTTACGGCATTTATCTTTGATATTGCGTATAAGTGTACAGTGCTTTAAAGTAAAAGAGAGAGAGAGAGAGAGTGAAAAAAAGGTTTCCAGCATGAAGAAATACAAAAGATCTGATACGATAAATTAATGGTTGACTTACGTCTCTAGACTCTCCTTTACTACCCATAAATCCCTGAAAGAAAGATTAAAAATGTAGATATAATTTACTGTGAATAAATTTAACTACGCTTGTTTAAAATTGACTTGACAAGTTCAGACACTTAATTAATCATATGGGAGAACAAAGTCCAGAGATTGGGGGAGAAAGCCTTGTACGTGAGTTTCCAAGAGCACAAAAAGCCAGTCTTAGAGGCTGATTTTGTGCAGGCTGATCCAGAAGGAAGCCACTCATGGAAGAAGTAAAGCGTTCTATCAAAATAACACTGTGCATTCAGTTTCAGCCAGTTTTACTATCACATCTCCTTGAATTAAGGGCTCTCCTGTATGTTTTTCTTAAAGTTTTTAAAAGTTTTTTTAATCTCTTTTATTTTACAGATTGGGATATCTTGCCATGTCTAGCAGATATAATGAATTCAGATAAAAACACAGAAACATGGAAAACTGATGGCAGCAAAAAAGCTTAAATGCAGAAGTTGAAGTGCTATTGCTATCTGTTCCTTATCGGTATGCATCTCAACACAGGGGAAGACAAAATCCTGCTGGTTTACTATATTAGATTTCTACTTTTAATGTACATTATATACATTGATACATTACATTTATCTACACTACAATAGATATCTACATCTACATTTCTATATAGCTGAAGCTCCCTGAGCAATTTTAAAAAGTATCCTACTTAACAAAATGTGGGAAACATATTGCAAAACCTGAAATATTTACAAAGTTTTTATCTCAGAATCCAAAGTGAAACTTCAAAATTTATAACTTTTGAATTTTCATAGCTGTACTTTATTTTATTGTAACTCAGTAAAATGTAGGTCTTTAGCTTTTGTATTGGTATCTGAACAGGCTCATGGCAGAATTCCCACATAAGCTAGCCACAATTAGTTCAGTAACAGTTATCAGTTCCTACAATTTTACTTAATCTATGTACAATCTAGAATACTTTTAAATGATGCAAGCAAGTCAAGAATGTGCAGTGTAAACATATTAAAGTCACATCTCAATTTTTGTGGTTCTTATGAGTTTACGTAAGAGAATGGATTTTAATTTAACTTTACAACATGTGAGTTTATTTGCAAATTATATGAAAAGAAAGGGCAAAGTATACTAGTAAGGTGTAGTTACTAAAGCAATAACCAGAATAATAAAAAACTTACAGGTGGTCCTGGATATCCACTCTCTCCTTTCTGACCACCTTGGCCAGGTTCCCCTGAACGTCCCTAAAAAGGGAAACTAGGCATTAGACTCAGATCATAAATATTTTTTCATATTATTCATCTCTGCTCTTTCAAATTAATTAAATATGTCCTCATTTGTTCAGGTTTCTGGATCTATTCCTAATATTACATTGAAGATTCCACTGCAGTATTCTCCATTGCTCTGACTCCATAGATTCTCCTCCTTTATCCTATATTCACTAGGTATCTACAGTACCCAACAATTGTTACCATTACTTTAATCTTGAAGGTTTGTTTAAATTAGCAATCATTTATTTTTCACATCTCTTTTATTTGTTGTAATTCAGTCAGTCTTGTTGGATAAAAGGAATTTGGGTTATATATCATTGTGCTATTTTTAATCTTTCTTGAGGGTCATCTAGTTAAAAGCATATTATAAATAATAAAATTCATTTCTCTAATAATGTAAGATTAGAGGTGAACCAATAAGATTGCTTTTGAGGGAGGCAGCTACTAAAACCCAAAACATTATATTTTTTTCCAACAGCTTTTCTTCAGAAATTGTGGGAGTTTCATCACTGGAGACTTTCAAGAAGAGATTGGACTGCCATCTATCAGAAATGGTGTAGGTCTCCTGATTGGGCAGGGGGTTGGACTAGATGATCTACAAGGACCCTTCCAACTCTGTTAATCTATCTAGACTAATTTGGTAGTAGAGTGGAAGATATATAAAATGCACGGAGTGGTTGGACTAGATGACCTACCAGATCCCTCTCAACTCTGTTATTCTGTTATACATGTGTGTGTATACGTACGTACGTACGTACGTACATATGTATAGACACACATTATCTAGTGAAAAGATAGGGCTTCCATCTGGTGAAAAGATAGGACTTCAATGAACATATGTGTGGATACAGGCAATGTAAAGCATCTTGTCCAGCCAATCACAAGTGAATGAAATCAATGCCTTCTAGCTCTCCAGATAGGGGGCCCTTCTAGTATTTACAATAAAGTAGCAATACCAACTCGGCAATGATATTTAAATAAGTACTATTATAAAAGATGGGAATAACCCATCTCCTATTACACTGCCAGGGTGATACAACTTTTACTTTGTTATCTTTCTTCTAATTAAGTACACAATAGCTCTGCCAGTAATAGTTACAAAATGACATTTAGAACAAAGAAAATCATTGGGGGGGAGATGAGTCAAAGGATGAAATGGCATTACCCGTTCACCACTGCTTCCTTTGGGTCCAGGTTTACCATCATCACCGTGATCTCCAGGTACGCCCTAATCCAAAATGAGAAGCATAGCATTTACTCTCTAATAAAGATCACATAGGAGTTTAAGTACTCTGCAAAGACTAGAAAGTGTTTTAAATACCCGTGATCCTGGGTATCCTGGGAAACCGGGTTGTCCCTGTGGAGAAAAGAAATTGAAGTCTTAGAATCACAAGAGTTGGCTTCCTCCCACCTCCCCTGATCTCTTTTCTAGTGATTATAGGTATCAACAGAGGCACTACTGAAGATTTTGTTCTGCTGTAAAACCCAAATGATCAATATAACTCTTTGGAAGAATCACAATATAATAATAAAGCCTCCATGGCGATTCTGTGCAGTTAAATTCAGGGAATCACAAATCCCAAAAGTATGTTACTTTAACACTGAGGATGGCTCAAATCAGACCACACTCCTTATAATGAAGTTTAATCTTTTCACCCAAACTCATTGTTCCAAATACTTAAAACTTTCTCACATGAGTGTGTTTAAAAAGGTTTTTAAAAAACTACCTCTACTGGCATCAATTAATAATTATCCATAGAATTGAATTAAGCAAATCAGGAAGGTTCAATGAAGAAGAAAACTTACTTATGAAGAGATAAAACCAGAAGGGCAGCTTGCAGACTACAGATTTTATATTTCATTTATTTTGCCTACTGAACAGGTATGGGGAAGAGAAGGAAAGGCCAAGGAAAAGTAGATTTGAGACATGGACACAAAAAAGCTTGGAAGAAAATCAGAGATATTGTCAAAATTGGGTGTGGGAAGGTGGGTATTGTTATCGCCAAGGAAGAACAAAAGAAAACAGGCAGTCTTGTCTTAGAAGGCAAGAGACCTTTGGTTTCCTTGCTGCAAATTCTGCTGTTGCCCATGCTGTATGGATTAAGGAAATTTCAGATGTTTTTATAAGTCTAAAAAATGATCCTAAACATACGGTTCTGCCTTTAGGTCCTTCCTTGCCAACTCCATCTCGTCCATCATCTCCCTACAAGATGCAAAGGCACAAATCAAAATAAGGAACAGTCCTGGGATCCTGAAAAGACTCTTTGCACATTTGCTGTACCATAAAAGGCATTACATTCTAAACAATTTAGTACTAAGAATGTTCGTTCAACTACAGGAGTGGATGGAACCCTGTGAAATGGCTTGTAAGCCATCTGGACTGACCTGCAGGGAACAGACAAGGTTTCCAATCAAGAAACATGTGGACAATATTCTCAATGTTTAACAAGAAAATGTTGATTATCCCTGGAATCTGTTATACTTGATCTTTGAGTACTGAGTAATACTGGTTCCTAGTAACACTCACCATTTCTCCTCGGGGGCCAGGAGGACCAATGGGCCCCTTTGGACCAGGCTCACCAGCTTCACCCTGAAATATTTATTTGAATGTATCATGTAATATATACACACAGTGCTTAGAGAATAATAGTATTAGCAATAGAAATAGCAATTAGACTTATATACCATTTCATAGTGCTTTACACTCCTCTATAAGTGGTTTAAAAAGTCAGCATATTACCTCCAACAATGTCAATGTTATACTAATATTAAAAAAATCTTAACAACCAAATATAAAGTAACAGTAGTCCAGGGAGTAAGCATTATCAGAGTCCCAAAGGAGTAGCAATAAAGCACTTCCTCAAAGTCAATAGTGGAGGACCTCAAGGGGAAAGCTATTCCACAAATGGGGAGCCACTGAGTAAGCCTGTCACTGGACTCCCCTTCTCCTGACAGGCCACAGGGTGGAATCCAAAGGAATAATTCTTGGATTAAGCACAGGGGATGGACAAGTTCTGGTCAGAGAAGTTGGTTCTACAGGTAACAGGGCCTTGAGCCACTCAAAAGTTTTAAGGCATTGCAGTCAAACGCCTACTGGGAGCCAATATAGTAACTGCAGCAAAGGTGTTATCTTGGTAAGGCAAATTTCACCTGTCAGCAAGCAAGCTATCACATTTTGCACCCACTGTAATCTCTGGGTAGTCTTCAATGGCAGCCCAAATAATGTGTGTACTACAGTAATTTAACTTTAATGAGGTACTGTCACCAAAGCTTCCCATTCACAGAGGAAACATAAGTTGTGCACCAGCTGAAGCTGTTCCTTCAAGTATATCTCTGAGTTCAGGAGAACTTCCAAGTTGCTAAAATAGGACGGATAAAGAATCCAGTATTTTTTGAGTAAATGTCAACCATTAAACTTGTGTTTTCCCATGCACTTTTAAAATTAAACAAGATACAATATGCTTTTCAACATTCCAATGAGAAAGCTTAATGATATTGTGATCTCAAATTAAATATTTAAAGATTTTAACAATATTCTTAGTTTCTATAGACATATTTTTGAGAGCCAGCTTGATGTAGTGGTTACGACTGGAAAGATATATATGAGGTAGTGAAAAAAAGATTTATTTTAACTGCCACCATTTCTGTTATTTAACTAATAATTATTAGAGCTATTAAAAAAAACTGACCTTTTTACCAAGAGGACCAGACCTACCACGTTCCCCAACACCTCCAGCTGGACCACCAGCACCCTACAGAAACAAGAAATTATAGGATGGACATATTAGTAACTGAAAAATGGATGAAAATAATTATTAAAGAAGGGAAAACTCCTTAAACATACAAAGAAACAAGCCTTGCTATGAAAAATCAATGTGGATTCTGCAAAGGTGAATCTTGCCTCATCAGCCTTCTAAAGTTTTCTGAGATTCCCACAATGGAATCTCACAATGGAGCCTGTGAATGGAAACAAGCCTGTATAGATTTCTATAAATTTTCAAAAAAGCTTTGACAAAGCCATTTAACAAAAACTCTTCAGTAAACTTTTTTTCATGAGATAAAGACACTTGTCCTTTTATGTATTATTGAATGATTAAAAATGACATGCAAAATTTGGAAATGAACAGGCATTTTTATCATTGCAGAAAATAAAAAGGAAGGTCTTTCATAAATGATTCTGGCTTGGGATGCCAAACTGTTAAGGCAGTGAGAATCAAATGAGATGGTAAAAGATTTCAAAGTAACTTGTTAAATATGTGAATTGTTAAGCTTATAGCAAATTAAATTCAATTCAAACTAGGCAACAAAACTCTAGCTTCATGTCCACAATTATGAGATCTGCCTGTAAGTAACCATAAAAAGGACCTTGAATACATAATAGGTAGCTCAAGAGGTTGACTCAACATGCAGTTGCCATGAAAAAGGCAAACTCCACGAGAGTTGACAGGAAGTTCTTCAGCTGGACAAACGTGGGGGGTGTGGGCTCTCAAGAGCCTCACATGAATCCTGTCTGACAAACCAACTTTGAGGTCCATTTGGACTAGAACCCCCACTTGGAGTGGGGGCGTAGAGGACAGCATCTCATGAGACCCAGGGGGAGGCAACAGATCCCTCGCAGGTTGGAGATTTGTCTTCTGAATCGGAGTCGGGGTGACAGCCTATAAATATGTGTGACAAGATGCCGAACTTCTTGTCAAATCAAAAGGAACAGGAGGGTTCGGAAGAGATGAGCGGCTGGTAAGATAATTTATCTAACCCACAGCCATAAATCAAACCTGGAAAAGGCAAAGAAATCTTAAGAACATAAATAAAATTGATGGTCTTTCCAAAAAGAAAGAAAGAAAGAAAGAAAGAAAGAAAGAAAGAGAAAATGGAGGGTTGAAACACCAGCCCCCCCCCCAAAGTTATTTATTTGAAACAATTTTGGGCAGAAAAGAGAAAGCAGAGAAATGACAAACCCACTCAAATATAAACTTTAAACTTTTGGATTTGAAAAAGAAACCAAACATTTTGAAAGATTTATTCTGTTTGAACTTTTTCCAATTAATAAATCTTAACTCCAAAAGAAAAAAAAGAAGCACTTCTTCTTCCTGATAACTGATAACCTAACTTTGACTGTGCAGGAAGTTTTAATTAACCAACTGCCATAAATCAGAACTTTGAAAAGTAGCAGGCAAAAAGGATACCCTAATCTCGCTGATCGCAAGCCTGTTTCAAGTGATATATTGTGAGCAGCTACAAGAGACCGGGCCGGGTAAGGGAAAGAATAACAACAGAATAATAACGGAATCCAAACTGGGAAATACAAAGGTATTTTTTGCTTTGTTTTATTTTCTTCTTCTCCTTTCTTTTTTTCACTCAGCAAAAGAGTAAGATGGCCCCAGCTTGAATTTAAGGTGGTCTAGTGGTGATCTGGACATTAAGGTAGAACAAAAGACTAAGATGGCCACCATCATTTTCCCCCACAGCTATTGAAGTAGACAAACTTAAGGTGGAACAGAACTCTGAAACAAGAACTGCATAACTGTATAATTAACTGTAACTTTGGAAATGGACATCATGGAAAACTGGGAATTTGAAGAACAATGTGGAATTTTAAAGAATATACATAATGTCAACTTGTAAAGCATTTCCATGACTACTATCAAGTTGACATAGAAAAAGGGAGAAAAGGGAGGAGAATTCCATGCATACCTTTGTCCAGAGTCAGAGCTCATATTCCTACAGTTGGCATGTGTAATGCGCACGTTCATAGCCAGCCGCAGCACCTTGTTGGTGGATGTGATTTATGACACAGACAGAAGGGAGGGGATACACGAGTATAAAGTTCAGATGCCATTAAGTGGGAATCAGTTTCAGCTCCACAGAAGAACATGCCAAAATGTTAATCCTAATAAATGACTGGATTTCTTTTGAACTTTGTCTCAAGGCTCGTAAATTAATTAGGTCATATTTTGGAAACTTCACAGAGAGCCAAAACTGACTTTTAAAATATATCAAGATTTCTGGGTTTCCTGAATCCTGGGTTCTCCAAGCACTTCCCCAATATTTGGGACAACCATGGTTGGAGAGAGAGATGGATTGCAGCTGGAGGTATGCGGCTAGCTCCAGACATCAAAGTTCCAGGCAGCCAAACTGTGATGCCTTTCCCAATGGTAGAAGCAAGAAAGGATGAGTACTGGTGGAAATTAGCCCCTAAGGCAGCTGAAGTTGAATTCCCTTACCCTAGTCTCCAGATAAAGGGAAGGGTCTCAAGCAAGCTGGCAAAGGTGGACTGGAGTTGGGACTAGGCACAAGCCAGGCTCCCAAAGCCCCAGATGGAATCCCTGGAGAGTGCAATAGAAAAAGAGAGGGAGGATTTTGACCAGACCATCCTTGCTGATAAGGGGCCATCATGCCACTCAAAAGAGAGGGGAGGGACATCTGATCCTGTTGAGGGGAGGAGTTGCAGACTGGAGCGCGGCCCCCTCCTCCACCTAATAGAAGGAGAAGGAGCTGAAACTGATTTTCGTTTAATGGCTTCTGAACTTTACTCCTGTATCCTCTCTCTTTTGTCTGTGTCATAGATCACATCCACCAACAAGGTGCTGTGGCAGGCTATGAACATGCACATTTCACATGCCAGCTGTAGGAATATGAGACCTGACTCTGGCCAAAGGTATGCATGGAATTCTCCTCTCTTTTTTCCCTTTTTCTGTGTCAACTTGATAGTAGTCATGGGAATGATTTACAAGTTGACACCCTGCTCAAGTAGGAGACTTATACCATACCATACCATACCATAC